TTCTCTGGTAGAGCAGCTGGGGGGCTCAGCTGCTGGCCTGTGGGTTAGCGGCTGAGCGCTTAACCAGTGCATCGCTGTACCTAAGGGCTGGGCGCAGCACCATTCGACCCCATAAGGTCGCTATTAGAATCTGCTCCATAGCAATGGGGATTTTTTTTTCATGGAGGCCGACGGCCATGTCCTGCCCTTGTGGAGCAGCTGGTGGGAATCTGTCAGTTAGTAGGCAAGCTCGTAACCTAGCAAACTGCACGGAGCAGGAGCAGCCACGGCCAAAGCTCTCCTCTCACCTCTCATCCTTGCATGCACTCAGCCTAAACAGTACCCTGGGTGTCCACACCCATCCCTGCTGTGTTTTCATTCCGGGAAAGGATGGAGGTCGCGGACAGACAGCTAACAGGCCCATCAGTGAAGCATCTAGTGTGTGTTGTCCGGGGAGGCCAGATACGCAGAGAATTCTCAGGGAAGTGACATGTGGGACCCCCACGTGTGTACGTTGGAGGCTGCCTTCATAGTTTTTGTTACAGACTACTCACAGGCAGCCGAAACAAGTTTGAACCAGGAGCTCTGTGAGAGAGAGGGAAGACGGGATACAGACTGGCCCCAGGTCCTGAATATGGACTGGGCTTTATCTCCTCCTGGGAGTGGAATTGGAGCCCTTTCCTCCTGTGCACCGCCATCCTGAGCGCCCGGTGGTGCTTGCTAAGGTCAGAGCGCCCTCTAGTGCTGCAAATGATTCAGACTCAGCAGGGAAAGGATGGGAAGCGCTTGAGATCTCATCCGGCTGCTCTCCTGGTTCTCAAAGCCCTTGCGGGAATAAACATCTCCTTGCTCCTTTTGTTTTAAGTGAATCTGTACCGGTTTCTATCCTAGCCTGGGCTAAGTTTTGGGGAGGTGGAAACAAATCGGGAAAAGAAACGCTAATAGCTTGATGCCTGACCCCAGCTGACTTTTCCAAACTTTTTTTTTTCCAACTACGAAAGTGAAACACAGATGCCTAGAGCAGGTAAACCAAGAATACAGATCCTTTACAACCCCTCCCCATACAGATGGTCTGTCTCTGTGAACATTTTCATACCTATAGTTAAACTCTTCTTTTTAGGCATATCCGCTCAAAGCGAGGAGCCCCGGTGGTGTAGTGATTATACACTGGGTCAGCAGTTTGAAACCGCCAACCGCCCTGCAGAAGAAAGACCAGGCTCTCTGCTCCCGGAAGGCATTACAGCCTCGGGAACTCCGGGGGCCGTTCTCCCCTGTGCTAGAGGGTTGCTGTGATTTGTAATCCGCTCTGGCAGAGTTTAGAGACCCCCGGGAAACACAAGACATTTACTATTGATGATAAGGTGACCTCTCCCCCTTAGGAACCCAGGTGGTACGGAGGTAAAACTTGTTTTTCCTTGTCGTGCTGAGCTACCTCCGTCACCGCCCTAGTTGTTGGGTGTTCTGGGGGGCCCATTGGGTGACTGACTGCATGTCAATGCAGAACTACCCAGCTCTGCCGGTGGGGTGGCTGTATAGAATTTTCATCAGAGTCCAGTGCCAACAATAGAATAGATGAATTGGATCTGCCAGTTTTTTGTTAAGTCCTTCGGTGTGTGTTGCCCATTCATTTGCCAAACAGACGTGTTTATCTTGATAGTGCAATCTTTTAAAGGAAGGTTTCATATCCCTGGCATTGGCATTCTTCGTTCCACGCTAGGAGTTGTGTATGCTGGTCTACATGCCTCGGGCGCAGTGGTTAAGCGTTGGGCTGCTAACTGCAACGTCAGCAGTTCAAAACCACCAGCCACTTTCTCCGCAGGAGAAAAGGCAGGGCTGTCTACTCCCGTAAAGAATTGCAGTCTTGGGAATTCCCAGGGGCAGTTCTGCCCGGTCCCTCTAGGTCGCTATGAGTTGGTTTCCACTCGATGGCAGTGAGACCCACGCCAGGGCTGAAATGCTTCCACCGCCACTGGATCCACAAGACTTTCCACCCACTGGCCTATGAGCTCCCTGCACTCGGCGTCATTGCATGTGTTGTGTGAGTCTGAAGAGGACTTTACAGACTGGTCTTAGACATATGGGCTAATATCAGACGTATGGACTTGATCTGGCCTGGGCTGGGATGTTTTCTCAATGTTTAATTGCTCTCGTCTATAAAGCTCTTTCTTAGACACATATGAGTGTCTCTATGAATTTGTTTCTGTAGACTACCCAGACTAACACACTCCTTGTAATGGAAATTCTTTTTTATTTCTACTCTACTCTCTCCCCTCCCCTGTCCACAGCATCTCTTCACATCTGTCATCCCATTTTCATCCGGCAGTTTTATTTCTCTCGCAGCTACAGGGGCGTATTATTTGTGGTCTTCCTCCATATACTTCTGTCATAGCTGATGGAGCCCGTAAACTTTGGAGAACTCGCAGAGGGCCCTACGGCAGCCATCACTTTCCAGCGAGACTATAGTCACCCAGAAACGAGCTTTTATGAGGTCAGCGCGGCTAATGGTTCCCACAGGCTCGGTGGAGTCCTTTCTCCTTTAACTCGTAAGTGCATTCTGGGTAGAATACCTTAGTTAGACTCTTGCCTGGTTGCCTGTCTGCTGTCTTTGGGACTTTGACGTACAGCCATCTATACTCAATCTTTTTCTTCTTGTATACATTTGACACGTGTGAGACAACATTATCAATAAAAGGGGTGGGAACAGAGAGGAAACGTGTGTGCGTGTGTGTGTGTGTGTGTGTGTGTGTGTGTGTGTGTATGAGTGTGTGTGTGTGAGTGAGTATGAGTGAGAGTGTGAGTGTGTATGTGAGTGTGAGTGAGTGTGAGTATGAGTGTGTGTGAGTGTGTGCGTGAGTGAGTGTGTGTGTGTGATGGTTTGCCAATGCTGCTGTAATAGAAATACTCCCCCGCTCATCTATGGCGCCTGCAGCCTCTGTGGGTGGTCTGATGGCTGCTGATAGCACCTCTCTCCTTTGCTCCTGACACCGGCAGCCTCGGGGTTGTCCATGCCCGCTTCTGTGTGCTGGTACGTGGAGCGCACCGCATCCTTGTCAGATGAATGTCGGATGTAGCCACTCTTCTGCTCCCGCTCGCCTCCAGGGCTGCAGCGACCAATGACGTAGTCTTTACAGTCTTACCTGTGCTTGGTCATGCCCCCTCGCTCCACCCACCTTGCTGAATACAAGTACCGGTATATCTCTGGTCTTGGATATACAGTACATTTATTTACAGTACTTAGTCTGCTATATTTTTTTTTATTTTCTTATTAATCTGGACCAGTGTTGACTATGCTTGCACAGAGCAGCCTGTGCCAGGGCTCATCATATACACGCTGCATTGTGTACGCACTGTGTTACTGCATGTGTTGCATTAGCGCTTCCCATACATATGCGGTAACCCACCGTGTGCAGTAACGCAGTACATGCAGTAACACAGTGCATAAATAACACAGCATGTGTATGATGAGCCCTAACACAGGCAGCTCTATACAAACAGTCACTTCATCACATTCTGGAATATTATCAGCCTACGTTGGGCCTCAAAGTATACACACTGCGTTGTGTACATGCGCTAAGGCAGCGTATGTAGTAATGCAGCACGTGCAGTATCGCAACGTGTATAGTTACTGTTGATACCATATTGTTTTTGTTGACCCTCTTTTCCATTTACAGAGCTAGTTTACTGTTTTTCTTTGAAATAAATATTCAAAAACATTTAACCTACTGATGCCTAAATTAATGTAATTGTATTGGTATCTATTTCTATTTTGAAATTTACCAGTAGCTGCTGGATTTCCTACCCTAGGCTTATACTGGAGTCAATAAGTTTTTCCAGTTTTTTAATGGTAAAATTATGTAGGTGCCTTGGTTTATAGTTGGCTCGGCTGATACTCAAGGATATACTGTACTCTTCTGTGGCCACCTTACTGTAACAAAAAGAAAACCCCTATTTCTGAACATACCCACAGGTAGTCACTAAAACCAACCCACTGTCATCGAATCCATTTCCAACCGTACAGTGATGTGTAGGACAGGTAGAACAGCCCCTTTGGGTTTCTGAAACTTTAAACTTTACAGGAGCAGACAGCCTCCTCTTTCTCCCATGGAATGGCTGGTGGGTTTAAACCACTGACCCCATGGTTAACAAGTTCAGTGGGTAACCCACCACACCACCATACGTAACATATAAGGTCTCTTTTGTTACAGATTTTGAGGGGAGATGGTTCAATCTGTAACAGTGTGGTATGGTTATCTGGATCATAGGAGATTGCAGCTCAATTGTGAGTGTTCAGAGCTCCCATGAGGATATGTCTGTGTTCACACACAACAGGATGTAAAGTCAGCTTCCATGCTAAGGCACCTCGTTGGCTAATTTTGGTTGCAAGAGTAAGTCAGTCTCCTTGTACTGAGGTTATAGAAAGTCTCACTTTGAAAAAGACCACTTTTATACCTGGATTTTTAAAAAAAGCTTCCTAGAAGCTAGTTCATGGAATCCAGACGACCCGGCATATGGAGTGAGCGCAGTCCAGTGCAGACCGGCTCCCCGGCAGCCAGGCTCACCAATCAGAAGCTGGGCTTTGACTCACGAGGCTGCCCTTACATTGGACTCACCTGCCTGAAGTCCACTCATTGATAAGTCTGCCATCCCTCCCCCACTGGGAAAGCACGGGCGCAGGACTATCACGTCCTGTCTGTCGAGTAGAATGCAGCGTTCACACAGCTGGTGCTGTTCAAGGTGGCAGATGGGGCCTCTCCGCCAAGCTAAGTTCTGACTCAGGGAGGCGTTTCATTCGGACTGGTCAGGGGCAGGCTATTGTAGGGGAATCTCACAGAGAGCCAGAGCTCACTCTCACTGCTTCTTTGTAAGGAAAGAGGATGGGAGGACCTGCCACCCCTGTCCCTCGTCTTTGTGGGCAGAGGGGTAACTGCTACATTTGCATCATGAACGAGTCCCTCGTCTCCCATGTTTTCACACCCTCTCTCTTCTGTGTTTCTTTCCCGTTTCTTCTTCCTGACCCACAGGCTTTGCAGTGCATGCTGGTCTCTCTCCAGGCAGAACTTGACATTCAGAGGTACTTGATGAAAATCGAATCATCTCAGCGAGTTAGTACTCTCTCTCCTCCTTTCTTGGTCTGCGTTGAGTGGCCCTGCGCTGCACACCTTTCCCCGGAGCTGTGTGTGGCTTCTAATCACTGTCGGCCACTAGGCCAGCCCACCTGCGCTTTCCCCCACTTACTCTGAGTCCCATCTCGAGCCGACCCAAGTCCCCGGCATACAGTGTTCTCAGACGTGGTGGGCCTTGTTTGATTTGTGCGAGTTGATATTGAGATGCACACTAATTGCATGTTTGCTTCGAAACATTTAATTCCCATACCATAGACGGGACGAATCCTCAGTAATACAACAGCAAAGCGGAATTCCTTGCATGATCATTTGAACAGGTGGGGGTGAGAGTGGATCTCTAACACAAGAACCCCTCGGGACGTGAAACAGAAACCTGCATGGTTCCAACCCAGTGGTTCTCAACCTGTGGGTCTCAACCCCTTTGGGGGTCGAACAACCCTTTCACAGGGGTCGCCCGATGCATCACAGGAGCAAAATGACAGTGATGAAGTAGCAACGAACATAATTTTATGCCTGGGGGTCACCACCACATGAGGAACTGTATGAAAGGGTTGTGGCGTTGGGAAGGTTGAGAACCACTGTAACCAATCCCAGGCACGTGTGACTCCTATTTTATCCACATCCAGGCCTTCCAGTCTTGGGTCCAGTTTGTTTTATTGGCCCATAGCCTGAGAATAGTAACGTTTGAAAGAAATCCACTCATCCACATTTTACTGCTACCTGCCCTTTCTAAGGGCTTCACACATGCTCTCTAACTTCTTCCGCTATGCTACGCCATGGTAAGTAGGTGTCCTATCATTCCCCTCTACAGTACGTGCAGAAACTGAGGCCCAGACCAGCCAGCTCACTTGTTTAAGGCACACAGCTAGCAAGGGGTGGCGTTGGGATTTGACTCCTGGCCGACTGGCCCTCAAGTCCATTTCCAGTAAGGCTTCTTTTGTCAGAGGCCAATACAGAACGCTAAAACCAGGAAGGAGCGGGAGACTAGCCGACACTTTGGCCAGGTGTTGAGTGGCGGTACCACCGGCACCTGCTCTGCAGAGCCACCCATGCCCTTCCTGTGCCCTCACGGCTGGGCCTCTTTCGCCTGCATGCGTCCCAAAAGTCTGGTGCTCAGCTGCATGGCCGGGAGTACACTGTGCTCCGGAACCACCCATGAGCCTGGCTCCCACGCTGGCTTCCATGACCTCTTGACCTCCTCACGTTCCCTTCCCTGCTTTCATCCCTTTGGAGGGTAATGAGCTCTAACGAAGAAGCCTCCCTCCCCTCAAAGGACCTCGGAGGAAAAGTGGGCGAGACGCCAGACATGCGGAAGAGAATCATGGCCACGCCCTCTGCTTCTCACCGACCTGTTCTTCGGAGAGAGATTGGCAGGCCTTTCTTCTGCGGTGCCTCTGGATGGGCATGGGTTTCCAACCTTTCCATTAGCCACTGCACATGCTGGCCTCCTGCCCCATCCAGGGACTCCTGCCCCCTACGTATGCTGGGCCATCCCAATTCTGGTGATCTGTTTACCTGTAAATACACACCCACCACCACCATCACCACCACTACCCAGGAATAGTTCATCATTGTCACATTTCTGTAATCCATGCAGAGTGGCGGCGCCGTTGTGATGTCTTGCGCGGGCACCGGTCACTGCGGAGAGGGAAAAAGACGGCACAGCCAGCTTCCTCTACAACCTTAGAGACTGGCGTCTGCTGTTCCCTTCTGCTTTCAGAACACACCTTTCACCTCGTGGTGTGGGGCGTTCCCTGTCATAAACCAACACCGCAGATTTGGCCCGTTCCCACTGCTTATATATGGGACCTAAGACAGGGGCCTTGGTGGCGTAGTGGTCACGGGTTTTGCTGCCAAACTGCAAAGGCAGCGATTCCAATCCACCAGCTGCTTCGTGGCAGAAAGGTCCGGCTTTCTACTCCTGTAAAGGGTGAGAGTGGGGCATGAAGCCAGAGTGGTTTGGTATGAAACCAACAACCGAACTTCTCAGCGTGCTTGCTTTCTGCTCCCCTCCTACCTGCCGATCAGTCCCCTGGTAGCTGCGGATTTTCTCGCATGACGTTTAACCTGTATAAACAGGTACAATGCCAGTGGTGTTTTGGGGGGGAGTGTGTTAGTTTGGGTTGGCTGGAGAAACAAATCCAGAGACACTCAGCACCCAGAAATTGTACGTTGTGAAAGCATCCCAGCCCAGTCCAGATCAAGTCCATAAGTCCGGTATTAGCCCATATGTCCGATAGCAGTCTGTAAATTCCTGTTCAGACTCACAGAGCACATGCAGTGACACCAGATTCAGGAAGATCGTAGGCCAGTGGGTGGAGAGTCTTGTGGATCCAGTGGTGGTGGAAGCATCTAAGCACGGGTGTGGGTCTCCACCTGGCTCCTCCAGCTCCAGGGCTCTGGCTCCATCAGCTTCGCTCCACTTGTCTTGTCAGCAGGAAAGACGAAGCAGAGAGAGTCTGTGTGCCTGGCCTCCAGTGAGCTATTTAACTCTGAGGTGCCTCCACTTGTGGTCATCAAGCTGCGACCTGACTGACAGGCTGGTCTACCCCTTGTCAAGTTGGCAGGAGATATGCAACTGCCACAAGGAGTAGCGTGAAGGCTAAGGTCGAAAACAGAAAGGATTTTTTCCTTCCCGTTTGGTAAATTTCAGGGTCTCTGCCGATGCCCACGTCTCTGTGTTCACGTCAGGAGCACATGGTAAGGGGTTCGTTGTGAGTCTCCCTGCCCACATAGGATTCCATGAGCCCCGAGACCTTCTGCGTGTAGGAGGGACAGGTGTCCTCCTGAACCACCCTCATGAGGAGGATCCTGCCCCTAGGATGGGCGAGGATCCCACAAGGCATGCAAATAGTTCATGTGCGTGGCTGCTAACCAAAGGGTGGAGGTTCCAGTCCACCCAGAGGGGCCTCAGAAAAAACAGGTTCCGAAAAGCCTTCCCCTGGAGCCCCCCTGGAGCACCTAGCCACTCTGACACATGCCGGACCACCGTGGGTCACGGTCAGTCAACTCCTTAGCAACTGGTTCTGGTCAGGGTAGGTAACCGCTTAGCGTTACTTCCAGTTTACAAATTGCTAGTGTGTGTCTGTCTGTCTGTCTCTCTCTCTCTCTCCAAGGACTTCCTAAGGATATCCATCTCATGCCGATTCCGGCTGCACCCATGTTATAAAAGTGCAGATAATGGAAGTGCACAGTGGCTTCTTGTGAGGTCACCCTGATGGTGGGTGGCAGGCTTGGAGTCTGCCCTGCAGAGAATGAGGTGATGGAACGGGGTACTTTCTCCTGCTTCCTCCTGTCCTGCTTACCCCCCATCCTTCTGGAGGAGGACTGGTGGGAAAGACCAGTTGCAGTTTAACAAAATGAATCAGGATGTTTTGACTTTGAGTTGAAAGGGGGCTCAGATTCTTATTTGAAAACGGGTGCAGTGAATTGGGGCAAGTTTTGTTGTTTGCTCTTGTTTTGGCCGTGTGTGTGTGTGTGTGTGTGTGTGTGTGTGTGTGTGTGTGTGTTGCGAGTTTGAAAGTTAACAACAAGCCAGAGTGCATAGTGAGAGTCTCGCCACAAGCCCTCAAGGTCTTGGAGGCCTGGGACACATCCAGTCTACCCTCAGCCAGCCACCTCCTTCTAAAGGGCGGTGTGCTGGGGACAGCTGGGTGCATGACAAGGACCACCTGCTCGCTGAGGATAGGGCCTACTGCTCCCTGCATACCTGCTTTTCCCTTGGGTTTCACAATGCTGCTGAGATTGAGGGGTGGCCCGCCCCCTGGGCCTGCGAGCCTCACAGCCTCTCTGGGAAGAAGCCCGGCTGCAGGGATGGGCTTAATGATGGCTTTTGTTCAGAGGCCTTTCAAAGTGCATCGTTAGCACCGGCTGTTATACCGCTTGTATTTTACTTGAAATTTCAAAGCCCGCAAGCAGGCCCCTTTCCTTTCATCACTGTAATAACAGCAAGCCTCACACAGACACCCTTCATGCGGAAGCCTTTTAAAGCGCAGTGCCTGGCTCTCAGGATTGTAAAGGCATCTGCCGCCAGGCCCTGGAATCTTCCCGGAAGGACTGGGGGAGCCAACGCCAGTTCAGTTGTGAGTTGATCATGTGTATACCTCTCGGAGAGAGAGACAGAGAATGAATGAGCAGATCGCTGATTGACTGAATGAATCCATCAAGGCCGTTTGTGAGAAAGAGGCATGGCCCTTACAGTGAAACATAAGGACCACAAGGTGAAACCTGGTAAGAGGAGGGCGCACTTTACCACCTAGAGTTACGTGGTTGCCTTGAACATGGAAGTCCGCTTCGAATTTGCTTGTGGTTTTTCTTGTTCTGTGTTCTGAAAGAAGTTGGTTGTTTGGGTTGGGCTTGGGGCCTGCACCGAAGGGACTTGACCTGACGTCACCGAGAGTCAGCCCAAAGGACGGGCAGCAGACTTCGTCTGGCCGCTTGTTTTCCCCGTTCCGTCGAGAGGAAAGCACAGCATGGACTAATAACTGCATGAGGGAAGCAGAGGATTAAATGGTGATTGCATGAAAGTGTGTCTGAAAGGGGGCTGGGGGCGGAGGGGGACCGAGTCACAGAGAGCCAGAATTGGAACTTGCTGATAGTCTATCTTTCTAACTTGATGGAAAGATGCTAACTAGAGATGATGGGAGGGAGAGCTGGTCCTTATCTCCTCTAAATAGCCTTATCTCAGTCTGCCTCCAGAGGACTCCGGGAGAGCCGAATCCAGAACGCTGTTTCTGAAAGGAGCCCATGTTCCGTGTCAGCTTGGATACGGGACGGGCAGGTGGTGGTGGGCTGCTAATCATAGACTGTGAAAAGGTTGGCCTGCTTTGGACTTGGGGATGGACCATATTTTAGGAACTGGGAAGGTTTTAGGAATCCCTCTAGTCAGAGCCAAAATTCTTAAATGTAGGGGGTGGGGAGTGGGGTGGAGGAGAATTGTAGTATCAGTACATTGTGAAGGGTTTGGAAAGTTAAAAAAA